TTCATGCATTGTGCAGAATTTTGTCTCTGAATTGCAGAGACAGCTTTTTCAGTGATCTCTAACCCCTATCATACTGTGGCTGATCTCCTTTATAACTTCACATCTTCTCTCTTTCCCCTTTACCTTTCCTCAATTTGCCTTTACCTACTTTCTCTCTTCTCCACCATTACTAGATCTGCCTGCCATTCCCCACTCCCCAGGACCCACTAACTGGAGGTTACACTCAAGTAGCCCAATAACACCTCAGGTCAATGGAAGCCCAAGGGGTTTCTTGCTGGTTGTGAACCTTGGACTCTCAGGAAAAAAACTTCAAGGATAGCCCTTAGGTATGTACCTGTTCAGTAATGCCTAGCAAAATATTGGACTTCTTTGATTAAACCATGTCTATGTGCTGGGCCAGAGTACCAAATGCAGAGTGCCATAACACAGGTGGCAAACAGACACATAAGCCCATGTCTATTACAAAGATACATAAAATTACGTGGTTTTATCCATTCCTACACGTCCACCCTGAATCTCTGCAGGATTCTTCCCAAGTTTTCAGAATCTACCAAACAATCAGCCAAACAATGGAGGTATGGGTTATAACAGGGCACAAAGTATTGTTTCCTATATGTTTTCACTAGGAGAAAGGAAGAGTCACGGAACTTTCACGGCCACCTGACTTCTAAAACTATGAGTCAGGACCCTCTCTGTTCCTCAAGAGAGAATTCACATAGGTCCAGTGCCACACATTTTCCCTTGGGACTCTGAACATTATTAGCCTGTCCTCTGTGCCTGGGGCTCTTAGGTTCTTAAGGGCATTATAATGTAGACTCATCCACAGGTCCAGGTTCCCACAGGAAAGTGCTTTTAAGTTCACCTTTTCTTTATACCCGGAGGCGGACAGCAGTTACCAGAGGAGGTTAGCAAGAAACTCAAAGCTGTTTCCAGGTTACCCACAGGGAATGTTATCAAGGTGATCCCATGTTCCCACTGTGCAAAGTCTGTATGCTCTTTCATTTTTTTTTTTTTAAGATTTTACTTATTTATTTGACAGAGAAAGAGACACAGCAAGATAGGGAACACAAGCAGGGGGAGTGGGAGAGGGAGAAGCAGGCTTCCAGCCCAGCAGGCAGACAGTCAATGACTGAGGCACCCAGGCGCACCAGGTATGTTCTTTCAATTCAGGAACAAATCTTTGGTATTTCCACTCAGAATCAACTTCCAGTCTCCCAAATTACTTTAAGCACTTTAGGAATTAAATTATTTCCCACCCACATTAGATTTTAGAACTGGGGTTTGAAGCACTATCAAATCATTAAATGTGCAGATAGCTTCCACAGTTAATTTAATTCTTGGTGTCTACAGATACATGCATTATCCTCCTTTGCCTAAAATCACTTCAGGGAGGCCACAAGATCATGGAAATGTGAACTCATCTTTGGCCATAGCTTATTCATTTCTCTCCATGGAAAGAAAAAGGCAAGGGGGAAAAAAAACAACAACGAGTTAATAGGGCTTTCATAACTGCAAGTGTTTAGTCAGGCTCTACCCACTGTATTTATTATTGATCCATCAATAGTCCCCCAATGGATTAAGAATTAGGGAGCAGAAATCTCCAACCATTTCTGAAGAACTTATGAACTAACAAAACATTGAACGTGAATTTTTTTACAGTGCCTGGGCTTGAGGATGTTGTGGATAGAGATGCACAGAATGGATCCTTTCTCCATCCAATCTTGTCTTTCTTAAATCTGGACAAAGTGAGTGATTTCCTTGGCTGTAAACAGCAGTTAAAGATAACATACCAAAATCAACCACAAAGGGAAACAGCAGTTTTATTTCTGATCTTAATTAAAGACAAATGCAGCCTGTCCTCAGCAAATGGCACAATGTGACATTCTGGAGGCAAGGACTGGGCACACAGCAGTGAGGGAAAAAGACAAAACTCCTGCCCTAGTGGGGCTTCCACTCTAGTTCTTGAGGATCTTTTTACCTCCTTAAGTTAGCCCACCTCCTGCTATTCTTACCAGGGCCTTCTTTCCAAGGTCCATCACCAATGGTCACTCTGAAAATAGAAAAGATTTTCTTGCTGAGAATTCTCCCACCTCCATCCTTTCCTTCAAACCTTTTTAGGCTCCAAACCTGTAGACAGCCACCCACCAGCATCCCAGCACTGAGGCAAGGGAAAGACCCATCCCAAAGGAGAACTGGCAGTTCCCTTTCCCACCTGAGATGGGGTAAGGAGAGGGTCTGCTCCTGCTGAGGATGAGCAAGAGGGAAGGCACTGGGTAAAAAAATAGATAAATGGGCACTGATGGGGGCAGTCTGCCTTCCCCAGGGGCAGCCAACACTCCTTTGATCAAAGCCCCATCTCCAGGTTGCCTGCCCAGGAGATCCACAACCCCCTCCCTCTTCTCACCAGAGCAGATGTGCACATTCTGGAACTAGCAGGCTAAGACAAAGAGTGCCACTGCCACTATAGTCCACATGCAGGGGACTGCATGTTCACACACCACCTTGCCTTGCAAACTCCCTAGAGGCGAAAATGCACTTCCTGTGCGTTCAACCCAAGAAAAAAATGAGTGCCAGCAAACTATCCGTTCAAGAGATGAGAGAAAATTTAGGAGTCCATTTGGATGGGCCTCTTTTTACAGGCAAAGAAGATCCAAACTGCGGCCTCACTGGCCATGTGTGTACGTGGCAGCAGGGCACAGTATATTGCCCAATTTTCTTCTATGCTCTCTGAACAATATCCCTATCAACAGTCCATTAGTCCATAATCTTCCCAGACTAACATGAGAGCCTCCTTGACTCCTGTACCTGGGCTGGGGGAATCTGGGGAGGGAGAAGGGGGGAATATAGGGGAATGCAGAGCACCAGGGTGGAGGAAGTCACGGGGCTCCAGGGAGGACAGCCCGTAGAGGTGAGTGTTGAGGTGAGTGTTGCTGCTAATCTGGAGGTGTCTGGGCTGCATCAGGGTCACAAGTTTGGTATTAGCTGTGTGACTCCAATCCTAGGGTACAACACACCTATGCTGTATCTAAGATAGAACTGTGTGATGGCTGGGCACCTTGGCACTGGAGTGTCTCGAGGGCCTCCCTTAGACTCTGCAGCCAAACTGGACGCCCACCTCAACCAACTTGCCCAGGCTTATCTCACTCAAAAAATAAGCTTTCTTCCTTTTGCCCTGCCCACCTCCAGAGTTCAAATGAGGATGACATTCATTGTGCCTGTCTTTTGTCACTAGACAAATCACTGCCTCTTTACCTGGCTGCTATCTTGCCTTAGCCCACCCCCCCCACTCAGGTGCAAGGGGCCATAAACTCCCAGGGCTAGAGTGAGCAGATTCCTTAAAGAGAGGCTCATCTCTGGAAAAGAATCCATTCCCCACCCCACTCCCAACTCAAACACGCAATAAATGTCAGTCTTATCTCCAAATAATCATTTCTCCAAACACAAAAATAACAGAACCGCCGATGGGTCTGTCATTTTGCCTGCCCCATTCTAAATGCCTTCAAAACTGCCTGAATAAAGATAAGAGAGGATTGTGTACGTTTTCTACACAAATGGTGGAAAGTAATAAAATAAACATCAAAGGTGAGCTTCCACGTACTCGCAGCTCCGTCGCTATGTCCAACAAAGGCAGGAAAAAGGAGGAAACCTCAGCGTGGAAGGGCAGCAGGTTAGAAGTGCACCCTTCCGGGGGGGGGGGGTCCGGGGCGCCCCATCCCTGGGGCATTGACACGTAGTAGGCCCAACCGTCCTGCGGCAGAAAAAGGTCCCCCCCTTTCTCGACGGTCCAAAACCACAACAAAAACCCTCAAGGGGAAATTGGGAAGAAATGGTCGTAAACACACCCTCCCTTTCATTCCCCTTGATTAGTCGGAACCCAGAAGAGCACGTCCCCCGCTTCGCCCGCGTCTGCAGGGTTCTGCAGGGGTACACACTCAGGCAGAGCCTGGCTCCCTGTGCCATACACAGCAGCCCCAGGGAAAGAGGGGAACAATGCTGGTCTTACCGAAGAGCCACCAGCCAGGTAAAGAAAAGGTAAAGGAAAACGAAAGAAAAGTGAAAGTCAGAAGCTATTTAAGCGAGCAAGAGTCAAGGTCCTGAAAGGGAAGAAAGAAAGAAAGAAAGAAAGAAAGAAAGAAAGAAAGAAAGAAAGAAAGAAAGAAAGAAAGAAAGAAAGAGAATCACAATTTCAAGTCCAGTATACAGTATGAAAGAAAAGAAAGAAAAAGAAGGAAAGAAAAAAGAAAGGAAAAGAAAAACAGAGAAGAAAAGAAGAAAGATGGGAAGGAGGGAGAAAGAAAAGAGAAAAAAAAAAAAAAAAGACCGCCAAAAAAAATCATAGAAAGGTGCACAGCATATGGCTCCCATAAGCGGTCCCTGCAAAGTGTCCTGCGCGGTCGTTGCTGTTCAGCTCTTCGTCAGTAACTACAGGGATTTGCTTTCGGAAGAAGCAGTTTTCACTACACTGCGTGCTCTTTGGGAGAATCGTAGGCCTGAGCAAAGTCCCTGCCGCCCTGCACCCAGCCCTTCCAGGTGCCCCCGAGGATAGCCCCCCGCCACTGCCCAAATCGCCTCCTTGAGCTGCAAGACGCAGGGACCCCTCCCAGGCGGTCGGGCGCTCACACCTGAGGGAGAAGCGGGGCGGGCGGGGCCCGGCATGCAGGCACACTCACAGACACGCGCACACCCCCAGCCGCGCGCAGGCTTCCCATTGGCAGGAGGCGGAGGGCGGGGCCAGGCCGACCCAAAACAAACAACCTGCGCCCTGACTTTGCGGCCGCGCTGCCGCATGGCCTCGGCCTGGTGTGCGCCCTCCGGGGAGCCTCGGCCACCTAGGCCACCTCGTTCCCCCACCCCTCGGCCCTAGGCGCCCAGGCCCCGCCCCCTCAGAGCGGCCGCAGGGTTATATTGGGCCGGGGCGAAGGTGGAAACGAAATGTAACAGCGGACGGCCAGCGCGGAGATGCAGCTTCGGAGAGCCGGGGCGGAAAGGCGGCTACGGGCGCCACGGCCTCCGGGACTCGGCTCCGCAGGCGCTCGAGGCTGAGGGCTCCAGACCCTATCCCAAGGGTGGCACGAACACCGGTTGGCACCATCTCCGTGCTCCAAAGATTCCTGCCCCGGAACCTGGGACCTCCAGTGAAGAACACCTCCTGGTCTCTTGAATGGATAGCAGATGCTCACGCTTCTTCTTCCAGCAAGAAGTCCCAAACCCGGCACACTTGGGCATCAGAGGGTGGAACCGCGCCCCTGTACGCATTCACCCCGAAGTCTCTCATCCTTGAACTGAAGACAGTACCCACCCAACTCCTCCCTCTCCGCCCCTCTTAGTTCACCCAATAAGCACAACTCCTCCAAAAAAAATTTCAGCGGAAGAAGCCTCTTCAACGGAAAAGTGACTGTCTCTCGCAAGAAGAGGGAGAGCTCCCAGGAAAGAAAGGCGAAGACCCCTGGCCTCGAGATCTCCATTCCGGCCCCCCGCACCAGCTTCCCAAGGCCACGCGAAGGAAAGGGTACGGCCCAGGGCAGGGACAGGGTGCGCGGGCATGAAGTTGGAGGTGTTTGACCCCCGCGCGGCCCACGGGGACAAGCCGGTTAGTGATCTGGAGGGTGCAGGCGGCAGCAACGCGCCATCTCCGCTGTCGGCAGCTGGCGACGACTCCTTGGGCTCGGACGGGGACTGTGCGGCCAACAGCCCCGCGGCAGGCGACGGCGCCGCGGAGCTGGCGGGCGGCGGCGAGCCAAGCCCAGGCGGGGGGCCGGGCGAGGAGGAAGAGGGCCCGGCGGTGGCGGCGGCGGCGGCGGGGCACGCGGAGGCCTGCGCGGTGGGGCCTGGTGCGGGGAGCGCGGTGGGCAGCGAGGGCGCGCGCAGCAAGCCCTACACTCGGCGGCCCAAGCCCCCGTACTCGTACATCGCGCTCATCGCTATGGCTATCCGCGACTCGGCGGGCGGGCGCCTGACGCTGGCCGAGATCAACGAGTACCTCATGGGCAAGTTCCCCTTCTTCCGCGGCAGCTACACGGGCTGGCGCAACTCGGTGCGCCACAACCTCTCGCTCAACGACTGCTTCGTCAAGGTGCTGCGCGACCCCTCGCGGCCCTGGGGCAAGGACAACTACTGGATGCTCAACCCAAACAGCGAGTACACCTTCGCCGACGGGGTCTTCCGCCGCCGCCGCAAGCGCCTCAGCCACCGGGCGGCGGCCCCCGCACCGGGGCTTCGGCCCGAGGAGGCCGCGGCCCACCCCCCCGCCGCACCCCCGCCGCCCGCACCCGCCGCCCCGGCTTCTCCCCGCGCGCGCTCGCCTGCCCGCCAGGAGGGGCGCTCCAGCCCGGCGGGCAAGTTCTCCAGTTCCTTCGCCATAGACAGCATCCTCAGCAAACCGTTCCGCAGCCGCCGCGACGGGGAAGCGGTCCCCGGGGCGCGCCTGCCGTGGGGCGCCTCGCCCTGCCCGCCGCTGCCCACATATCCCGCGCTACTCCCCGGCACCTCTGGAGGGGCTCTGCTGCCGCTGTGCGCATATGGGACGTCCGAGCCGGCGTTGCTGGCCGCGCGCGGAACCGACGCGCAGCCCGCGGTGCCACCCGCCGCACCTCACCTCCTGCTCGCGCCCCTCTCCTCCTCGGCCCCAGCCAAGCCTTTTCGAGGCCCGGTGGCCGGCGGCGGCGTGCACCTGTACTGCCCCCTGCGGCTGCCCGGGGCCCTGCAGGCGTCCTCGGTCTGTGGCCCCGGCACCCACCTGCCTTACCCAGTGGAGACGCTCCTGGCCTGAACAGAGCCGCGGAGCCCCCCAAAGGTGGGCGCCTTCGGGGAGGCCGGAAATGCAGTCCGGGGCTTTACATTTTTCTAGACAGACCAAAAAAAAAAAAAAAGAGAGAGAGAGAGAGAGAGAGAGACGTTAATAGAAAAATCTCCATCAAACGTGCCTTAAAGCTTGACCAAGCCTGTCCTTCCCTCACTTCACAAAGACTTTTCCTATCTTCTTACTCCCCCTTTTTCCTATTTTTGTCGCACCTTCTATCGATTTGTCCCTTTAAAAAAAAAATCAGGGAACCATTCCATAGGATAAATGATATGACTACTGTATGGGGCTTAATGGCCCCTGCTCCATGTAAGTATGTGGCATTTACAGGCATGACTGAGTGTGAGAGAGGTGTCAGAGAATCTGCAGTCATTTCTCTGCTATTGACCAATGCTTCACTGTGCCAAAAGATTTAAAAAAAAAAAAAAGTTGGGTTTTGTAATTAAATTATTTATATATTTTTGAGACCTGAATTGAAAATGTTGCAGGCAACGGGCTACAGCTTTATTAGTGGTTCGGTGATCTCTACCTGTGGTCTCCTTGGGCCAAGCAATTTCTTTAAAGGGAATGTTAGCATTATGTATGTGGGGTGCCAGGACCACTGCCACCTGAAAGCAAGTGTGATTTTTTTATTTTTAATATTATTTTATTTGTGTCTGTACATATTCATGTATAAATTTTATGAAACCCAGGCATAGTGCTTATTTTTAATAAAATTCACAACTGACTTTAACACTTTGTGGTGGTGGGTGCAGATGCAGAATTTTTTACATTCCCCCCACCCTGCCCTTGCCAAGAAAATGGGTTCAGGTTTGACTCTCAAAAAACTTCCAATGGAGTCAAACAATTTCTTGAATAATTCAATAAAGGTAAAGTCGGAGTGCAGGTTTCCTCACCTAAACAATTATCCTACAAATCTCCAGGATGGGACTTCTGTCAACATGATTTCTTAAACTTCGAACCAATGACCTCTATGAAAACTCACTTAAGAGTTACCAGAACAAATGATAAGGTGTGTGCCCCTTTCCTACAAGAAAATGCTTTAGCAGACAAATTGAGCTATTAGCAAGCTTTTATAGTCAAGCAGGCATTTTTAAGTAAGTTGGATCTGACTTGGAGCTCAAAAAGCTGGAAAAAATCTTGGCATAAGACTATCTTAATACACCAAAGATTTCTTTAGGGCAGTTTTAAAAGCAACTTAAAAGCCAGTGATTTTTGTCAAAATGAAATGATCTACCTTTTTAGGAATGCGAAAGTTAATCTGTTTATGAACGAATCAGTAGTTTTTTTTTGTTTGTTTGTTTTTTCACTCGTATGAGGATAGAATTTGTAGAGGTGGGGATGCCAGGCCTATTTCAGTTGTGATCTGAAGAGAAAACACCACCTCAGATGGGGCAAAGACAGTATCTCACAGTAAAAAGGGAAGGTTTTGATCAGAGCAAGTACCAGAAAACAGTGTGAACACCTGTTGTTCCGTAAATTCAGAGGCAGTGGGGCTCTAACAGTTTATGGATTGCGATATTCTAAAGACTAATGCAAAGAACAAGAAATTCAGAATCTAGAAATTTAGGCCCCATTCTTGTTCTTGCAGTTCTTCTGTAGATCTAATTTTAGACAAGAGGATGATTTAGGGTTTACATATTGTGAGGTGGGGAAAAGAAAGTGGGATTTATTTCAGGATGCTGTCTTTGGGCAGAAATGGGGGGGGAACCCCATCTGCAAGTCTAGTAACAAGTCTTGACAAATTTTGGTGATATCTACTTAGTAGTCATGAAGAGTGATAATAATAGGGTTGAATTATGGCAAAAGGTAGACACTGAAGTGGAGATTTTCACCCACAAGGCCAATAATTAGACCAAAAAATAAAACTGAAATGGACTGGGAGTAAAGGATGGGGAAAGTTCACTGGCCTGAAAATATCAGGACTCATATACTCAATCCTTTGCTTTTTCTCTTGAAAACACACTCATATTAAAGGCAAGCAAGGAGTCAGACACTTGAGGTGCTTCTGAACTCCAGCAGACCATTTCTCTCCAACTGTGTACCTTGCCTCCAGAGGCTTTCCAAAACTGATTTAAAAATAGACAGCACCTTGCCTCTGGAGGTGGTGGTTAAATCAGTTTTGGAAAGCCACAATTTTCATTTCTACACTAATACATGACGTCAAGTTTGCAAATGGAGATTTTAAATCGCAGTTTATTTATGTTAAAGAACACAGGGCAATGTAAAAGAGGCAAAGGGAAAGGTAATTAAAAAAAAAAAAAAATCACCGCTATTCTCTCGGAAAAAATCCCTCCTTCCTAATGAAGGCTCCGGAGTCCCGCGACTGGGGTCCCCTCCCCGGCTTCTGGTGCCCAGGTACCATAAGGTTTTCTAGAGAATGGTCAGAGGCCCTTGAACTTTGCGTGCCTGTACGACCTCCCATGACCACCACCAACCTCCTACTCCCACGAGCAAGCCAGTGGGGGGAGGGGACAGGATGTGGAGGGATGGAGGGACCTGTGGCTGGCTCAGTCGCCGCCTCTCTGCCTCTCCTTCCCACTTCTCAGCCTCTCCCAGCTGGGCCAGAGGAGGGCCCAAGGAAAGGGAACCGCACAAGCTCTGGTTTTCGAAATGAAAGTGGAAAGTTGCGAGGACGCTTTCAGTTCAAGCTACACCCCAGTTCCACGGGAACCGCATCTCGCGGAGGAGACCCCGGCCCTCAGTGACTAAGTTCAATCGTGCTTGCGCCAAGTCCACCCTCTCCCACGGCCCGCCCTTCCCCCACCCCCCACCCCCGTTCGACCCTTGCGGGCCGCGGGGCCCCGGCCCACCTGTGCAAACACCAGGCCGCCAAGCGCATCGACCCTAAGGTCGGGGTGGGAGTCTGTTTGGTTTGGGAAACGCCCTTTGATACCTGTCAGGCCTGCGGGGAGCCAGAGATGTGGGCGGAGGGCTCCATGGGTCAGTTTTCAAAGATCCCCTCTTCTGCCCCTGCGTTGGCATTTTTGCGGTCCCTTTTCTACTCACCCCTCCACGGCTCAGAAGAACCCCTTCCAGACCGACGTGGACAAACGCGGGGAGAGAAGTGCACAACCGCAAAGCCCAGTCCAGCGGGGACTTCTCCTACAAGTGCGGGACCTACCCCCGTCTGCCTTCCCCACAGCCACGGATCAAGTCCGCCGCTTTGAGGAGCTGAAAAATTCTCTGAGAAGCGATACGCAACATCCTGATAAATCTAAAACCCGCTTTCTATTCTAGAAGAGGACTCTCCTGAATACAGGAGGCATGGGGCTGGGTGGCGGGGGTGCCGTGGTCCTGTGCCCGGAGGCCCACATTCCACCCATCTCTTTGCCTGTGTGTGAGCCTGGGCAGTGAATAACTTCAGTCATCAAGGGCGATGGCTCACTCCAAGCCCCTTAGCTTACGAATTAGGCCGCCTAACTAAAGTTCCTTGTAGAATTGTTAAGTCAGCTTCTTGATCCCATAGGAATTCTCAAAAAGAAAAAGAGAAAAAAGGAAAAAGGAAAAAAGAAGTCAGAGAAAGCCTCACCCTCAGCTAATGGGCAAGGGTTCCTCCATGAGCAGCTTGCTGAGCTGGAAGCATCCTTAAGGAGAATTACCTATGCCCACTCTGGTTCCATTGTGGCCCAATTTCACAAACTGGGCCTTTATCTGCCCCCAGGGGATGTGTGATCACGTACAAAATACTAAGTTAAATTCATTGACTCCCTTAGGTAGATCCCTAATTTTATAGATGTGAAAACAGGCTCAGAGTAGCTTAAGCATGCTTTCTGGCAGACCCTGGTGGAAACCAAGATCCAACTCCCAGTTCAGAATTCTTTCCACTGAAACACAATTATCTGGATAATTCAGACCAAAACATACCTTGGCCTGAACTGAGTTGAACTATTCAGATAATTGTCTCAAAGCACTTTTATTACAACGGTAGACAGATTTCTCAAACTGGTAGATGGTTTCTTTTATTACTAAGACCTTGCTACCCACCACTACCACCATCATAATTTGTCCTTTCCTGGAAGAATATGTCCACGCCTCACCTGAGAGACCTAGATGTGAAGTGTGTTAGACCCTATAGCTTTAATGTATAGATAGATTAGATAGATGGCTACCACAGTGGAATTTGGCAACTGCTTTCTCTCACTTCTGCAGAGTGCCAAGTGCTTGCTCCTACTGAAGGTAGCAAGCACAATTCTGTGCTGAGAAAGAAGGAGCTCTAGAGAATGCAGAACCTGCTCTCTGGTGACGAGCACTAACAGATGGGCCCTCCACGATGCACACCTCTCCTACTTTTCCACACCAGGAAAAGTAACAAAATAACAAAAATGGCCCCTTTCCCACATGAGAAAGAAACTAGAACCTCTTAAAATTATCTGCCTTCCATTTTTAGTTTTAAAAAATGCCAACTCAATCCAACACATAACTGACAACTTTCTGAGGTATTAAGGGACTTTGTTGGTGATCAAGCATACAAGGATATTGTTCCTCTATTTTACTATTTTTTTTTAACTCTTTAGATCAAGATAAGCTGAGCTTTGCCTTGGTTCCAGAAATTAGACCCTAAGTGTCCTTCAGTAAATATTTCCTGCTTTCAAATACCACAATATTTCTCTCTTAAGTAACAGACTTTATGGTTCTCTAATGAAACCATTAAACTTTTGTTATGCTTTAACAACATAATTTGTTAATTCTTAATGTTGTCAACAAATGGCCCTAATAAGTATCTTCTAAGAAGATCATGATCAAAAACATAAAAATGTAACTCTCCCAAGATCTGAGGTCCTCTTTCAAATTGGCAAAGATTCCAGTGTCATGAAATGCTGGTTGTTGTGCAATAGTTTCTGCACTGTATCTGTTCGGCATTATTAAGATGGATGGGTGATTAGAAGCAAATGTTGTTCCTGTCATTTGCCAACTTACACACAGACTGGAAGAGAGAACTGTATTGACCTTCATTTTTGGTGAACTACAGCCAAACATAAACATTAACATAATACCACATTTCCCTTACCACTCCTGGACCCTCTTTGCAGCTCTTTTCAGGAAAAGTTTAACTTAGAAGACTTGCCATAACTGAGCTTTTTTATCACATCTGTTTGAAGCCCAAAATAATATACATATTCAACATCCTTGACATGTATTTGTTGTTTCTGACCACCAATTTCTAACCATTAAGGGAAAAGGTAGAAAAGTTTCCCAACCTTTGGCTGGCTGTGCTCACTGTAGTT